TATAATATTATACGTAATCGTCTTAAAAAAAAAGAAATAAGATATGAAAAAAGAGAAATAAAAATACATAAAATCTTTGGTGCATGCAACATATTTAAATAAATTTAGTGCAACCAGTTTAAAAGTAATTTTCTTCGCATGCGATATAAATAATTAAATGTGGTTTTATTTTGTATTCCTTTGTTTTATTTTTTGGTTTTTTAACCAAGTCGTCAAACTCAATCCATTGAGATCCTTGATAGGAATACCCTACATAATGCCCGATCTTATCACCATATCGTGCAACTATCCCAGCTAAAAAAAAGTAATTTTTGCCAACTTGAATTCTCAGCGGAAATTCTGCAAGGGAATGTTCTTCTTCCAGGTCACTTCCTATTGCGTCACATTCTATAAAAATTTGTTCTCCATATTTTATATTTTTATTCATAAGTTGCTTGCAGCAGGTGGATGTATTAGTTGGCATACCTTCTGATATAGCCGTGGACAGCTCACAATATCCACGTTCTATAATAATGTCTACATTAATAGGAATTAATACGGATTGACGCATGATAATATTGGAACATACAACGCAAGTTTTTATTTCTGTGTAACTGGGATTATTTTTGAAAATGTATTGTGCAATATTTCCTATGCTTGCGAGACAGTCTATGGTAATATTGTTTTTATTAATTTGAGTTTTGAAATTATCAACTCCCATTAATATTTCGGCCCTTAATTTATATATGTTTTGGTTGCAACCACTTTTTAAAAAAGATTTAACAAATCGCATAATATTAGTATCAGATGATTCAATATTATTTTTATAATATTCATTAATGCATGCACATACAATTATGGACACGATACTGTCAAATCCACATGTATTGCTCACTACAATTCTTTTTTTATCTATAGTAAGAAAGGGACATAAGTTACCATTTTGTAGATTTGCAACTCCTACGCGCGTCTTTCCCATATGACTTATATCCCAGTCCGGACAATTGTCCAAATATGTTTTTCTTTTATTTGTTTGTGTTGTATTTTTGTTCCTCCAATTATGTTCTAAATTTAATTCATTTGTCGAAAGTGACATTATATCACCTGATATAATGTCACTTTCCTCAGAACAAGATTCTACTCCAATATATGTCGAAGAATTAGACTCGGTTTTAAGTTTTGGTTGGTTAAGCATTGGAGAGATTGATACGTTTTCGGGCAGTTTGCTTTCTCTAATAGTTGGAATAATGGATTTTGTCTCACTTATTGCACTACTGATTACGTCATTCTTTGTGATTGACTTATTAGTTTCAGCAGAGGGCAGAGAGTCATGTGTCGACATAGCTAAACGTGATCTACCTGCAAACGATCTTAAATGAGTAATTACAAATTTATCTGCTCTCATTGGACGTTCTTTATTTTTTAATAAGATATGCTTAACATCTTTCATTTCAGACTCTACAGACGATGAGCTAGCATTTATCTCTCCATATCCGAAAATAGGGATCATTACTCCCGAATATAATGGAAAATAAGGCAAAAATGTTTTTAGTCTCTGACTTAATTGCGGAACGTAATATGGATTTGCCATGTCACATTTTATTTTGGTTTCTGCTAGCGTTTTGCGACAGTCTTCAAGAAGATTGCTAGACCACGATACAATATTACAATTTGTTATTTCCAACTCAAGATCTTCATCTTGTGTATTGTTATCATCTTCATATAGTGACACCTCTTCGATACCTTTTATGTGTTTTGTAATAAGGACGCGAGCAGATTCCGATGGAGAATCATTTCCATCAGTATCTTTTCCAATTTCCTCACTGAGGGATAACAAAATAATACTTTTTACCAATTCGACGAAATGAGAAAAGTTCGTTTGCTTTGTTAATAAAGCCATAGCGCGTATATAAAATTTCTTCACTTTCGGATTTAGTTGTGAAAAAAATTTCCACTTAGACACCGTATGCATATAGTGGCAAATATCAAGTCGTATAAAGCATTTTGGCGTATCGACAA